CCGGGGCCGACCTCTCTGAAAGGAGTGCGTGCGGGGATCGGGAAGGCAGTAGAAATCGCGTATCTTTTGATGCCACCATTTCCCCCTTCTGCCCGAAGAATGCAGCCAGCTCCTCGGGCCACTCCTTTCTCCTTATCTTGTGTCGGCATCTCCGCTTTCTGCATCGCTCCCGCTTTGCTGCTGCTTCCAGCATGCTCCAGCTTACTCCATCCCTTCCTTGTTCTCTCAGTTACAGTGATCTGGGGCTGAACGGTAACGCTTCTTTATTGGCTGTATTCGTTATGCTTTATAGATGCTTCTTAAAACAACAGGAAACAAGTACTGTTAGCTGGGAATGAGAACTTCAAGGTTACCTGCATGCTTATGCAGACCTTGTCGTGGTGCAGACTTTGCCGCTAGTAATAAGGATTAGAAGAACTGCATTTAGCAAATGTAATCTTTTTTTTTTTTTTTAATGTGAGACAGATAATTACATGTTTATCTTATGTTCAACACATTATTATATGTCAAGGTGGAAATTTGCATTTCCTTTGCTTCAGTAATCTCTCAGAAGAGTAGTAGTCATCGACCAGAACGATACAGGCTGAGTATCTCAAGACAGTTGGCCGGTTTATGTTGTAGTGGCATGATGTGAAGATTAGTAATAATCACATTTCTGCTTGTGGAATATTTCTCAGGACAGAGTCTAGTGACAAGAGGATGCTGATACGATCCTAGCAGGACAACTGGGTATTGCACTTTGTGAACAGAAAATTTTGGCCAGTTTTACGACTTGCTATCTCCAAGTCTCTGTCTCTCATCTTGCTGTAGTTGGCATGTGTGTAAGAGAGGGAGGCAAAAAGGAGCTAGTTGAACATTAATGCTTAGCAGTACTGTATCTTAGTAGTAAGCCTAGATTGGCTCATGTTATAAAATAGAGACAAGGTGCACAAACTTTTTTTTTTAAAATTATAAAGGCCTCATGCTGTTTTTTACTTTTGGAGCTTCCCTATGAAATCCTGTTTGTACAATCTCTGTATTTCTTTTAGCAACCAGCACTCTCAACAGTGGGAGATGGCTGTGTTGATAGCAAAGGCTTTTTTCTCTCCTCGCCACCTACTATTAAACAGGGTTGGGTTATGAAACACACCCTGTCAGAAGAAAGCAAAGATGCTTAGGTTAGGAAAGTGCCAAGATATGTATCGCCAGTAGAATTATGTATATGTCTAACATGCCTGTTCTTCTTAAAGGAAAAATCTCAGGATTGCATGTATCTCCAATACTGTAAAGTGTGTCAGTCTTACAAGGCACCACGTTCACACCACTGTCGAAAGTGTAACAGGTACTATCTTTCTTTAAAATTGTTTTAAATCCATTTTAAAATAACTTTGAATCTAATAATGAGCTATTAATATAATTTATTCTTCCAAATCTTGTGCATTTTTAAAAGTCTTCCATATGAACACTATATCTGTGTCAAATATTTCCACTTTCTAGTTGTAGGATTTCTCTATTGTTTTATTGTGGTTTAGTATCTAAATTTGTGTCTAACATTTTCTTTTTAGCTTGAAATTAGTATTGCAGTACTGTTTCAGGGAAGTGAGCTTGTGTAAACACCTAAAAATCTTTCAGTCCTTGCAAGTTCTGAGTCCAAACATTCACCTGCTCAGACTAGAAAAAAGCCTATTCTGCCATCTTTCCAAATGGGAGTTAAATGTTGATTTGAGTGGAAATTTTGGACTGTTCTCTACTGTTCACTAAAGGCTTTTTTTTCAAGGCAAGTCAGCATATTAAGTGAACTAATAAGCCTTTTGGGTCAACTTTTAAAAGTTTGTGCCTTGTTATGTGTTCATCCTCCAATAGACTTGCTTTGAGCTAAAGGATGTTTTTATTATAAATAGCCGCACTGAAATTTAGTGCAGCTTGGAAAAAGCAAGCCACTTCAGATGTCTGCAGTCCAGGTTGTAGTTGCATTTATCTTGAGTCCTCTTCTGAAGGACTATTAGAGAATGTGGTAAAAGGATATTGCAACATACACATTCATTTGTTATTTCTGTAAACACAAGATGCGTGGTCAGTGTGCTTTTAGGAAGCAGAGACTGAAACTGTAGAGCAGTGCTGTAATTTGGCTGCATCATCCTGAGATTTAAAATTTGACTCCTTTCCTTGAGTGACGATGTTTACACTGAGGACTTAGTAGAAAATGGCAGCAGATCCCAATGATTGTCTTTGCAAAAGCAAGTTGTTTAATTTAGCTTTTGTCAAATAAAACAGAAGAAACTGCAGCATGTTCTCCAAATCTTTTTGCTGTGATAGGCTTTAACAATTTTCCACCTCCTCAACTCTGGCCAAAGTAACCCATTCCACATGTGTTTCTAGCCTGTTGCAGTGAAGTGGGTAACTTAAACAACTGCTGAAAGTCTTCTATACTGTGGCAAGTTTCAGTGCATGAATGGAGTCACTTATTGTGGCCCACCTGAACGGGGTGAGGTTTCTAATTAAAGATCTAGGAACTTCTTCAGAAACACCTGTGCTGATAATGATGATTGCATGTTCAGGAACTTGTACAGTGGCAGTTGAGCATATGCTAATGAAGAAAAAGTAATTCTTTAAAAGAGAGAAACTGAACTTCCTATTGGGAATGGACTAGCTTAAAAGATAATAAGGTCAGTAGTTCCAAAACAATTAACTTATTTTAAGAGGAGCTGGATATTTGTGTAACTTAATCCTTTGTTTATCACTTAGGTTTGGTGCAGATGAATTGCAACATTATAATTAGTGACTTTTACAGCTGTTAAGCTAAATCAATGCAATTTGGCATACGGACAAATCTTTTATCAGGTGCGGTTTTGCACCTGTAAGCTAAACCAAAATAACCAGCTTTATATTGAATACAAGAGTGTATCCAGGGTGTTTATGTTTGTTAAATAGATTTTGAAAAGGACTTACAGTCGTGTAAGGTCAATACATAGCAATTGATGAAGCTTCCAGAGGGTCTGCTGCTGAAAAGAAACTGGCATTAACACACTTCTGTCTGTGTATCTTTATATGTTCTTTCTTTTAAGTAGTTCACGGGCATTTGATATTTCCTTTATTTTCCTGGTGTGCTTATTTAAAAATATTGGCAATAATATTAGTGCCTAATTATTGTGTTGATGGTTCTTAACACTTCCCATTCTAGGCCTCTGGCTCTGGAATATGGTGTTTAGCAACTAGCAAGTTTGAGTATAGAGGAGGAGGGATAATTAGGGAGGGTAGGACCTGGGAGCACTTTTTGGTTTTCTTTCTTTCGTTCTACAACATAAAATATCATTCTAAATTAGCAACAGAAAAGACACTATTGTGTTGATCTGCTGAAAATCGGTGGGTTTAAATGAATGAATGGAGGTTGAGTAGTAGAAAATTAGTTGTCCTTTTCTTTGAGCTTTTTGGAAAAACATCATAAATGTCCCTTATATTAATTGATACTTATTATTTACAGGTGTGTCATGAAGATGGATCACCATTGTCCTTGGATCAACAACTGTTGTGGATACCAGAATCATGCATCTTTCACTCTGTTTCTCTTCTTAGCTCCACTGGGGTGCATTCATGCTTCTTTCATATTTGTTATGACTATGTACACTCAGCTTTACAACAGAGTAAGAAAACATAAATGCTTAAAATATTATTTACGTCAGAAGGGTAATTTATTTCTGGAAGTATGAGATGATTCGGTTTCCTGAGAATCAGTATGTGGAATTCCTTGTTATTCTTTCAATGTATACTCTCAGTTCTGCTCTCTGTCTGTGAGAAGTATGTTCATTAATTAGAGGAAGATTCAGAGAAAGTTGTTTTTATTTTCCTTTCCTTTTATTTTCCCCTGTTGCTTGTCGTAATCACTGGGAGTCTCTTAGAGCTTTGCATTGACTGAAGACAGTTTCTGAGGAGTACCTTATATAGAGAGAGACAGGCTGTGTTTTGGCTGGCACAGAAATTAGTTGCTATTTATTTCCAACACACAAGTTAGGTGTTACTCATTTTCTTTTGCTTGCTGCTCTTTTAGAATTGTATCCCTTTCTTCAAGGGGAAATAGTAGTACATTATTTTTGGAACAAAAAATAAATTATGCTGAATTTGTTTTTAAAAGGGAAAATTTAACTGCAGCAACATTGAGCAAAGCTTGTTCTGGAATACATCCCTTATCTCAGATCCATGGTTAAGATTATGAGCTTTGATCGCAGCTTTTGTGGTTGCGATGAAAAGCTTGAAAACATCAACTGAGTGTAACAGATGCAGGCTGTGTGTTGTATTTGCAGAATAGTGATGTTGAGATGTGCTATCTGCTGAAGTTTTCAGAGAAAAACCTGTAGCGTTTCCATTGAAAATGGATATTGTGCTATGCAAACATTTTCTACCTGAAACTGGTCAATGCATTTTTGTTAATGTGCCAGAGTCGAGATTTCTTTGCAGATTTTAGGCCTAACTTGTGGAGATGGCAATTTTGGTTTAGCTTTCTATCTAGAGAAGGCCTACATCTAGCAAAGAATGTATTTCTGAAAAGGAAAAGTCTTTGAATACTACTTTTTTTTTTTTTTTTAATTATCCCACTTGCATTATAAACCCATCAGAAGTTGGACATCTACCTTCAGAGAGAGATTTCTTATTGGTAAATTATTTTGTTTCAGCAGTTGGAATGTTTTAGAGCTGAATGATGGTATTTTCCCTTTGCAGATATCTTTTGGGTGGAGTTCTGTAAAGATTGACATGAGTGCAGCCAAGAGAGACCCTCGACCCATTATTCCCTTTGGACTGTCTGCATTTGCTGCATCTTTATTTGCCTTAGGACTGGCATTAGGAACAACTATTGCCGTTGGTATGCTGTTTATTATCCAGGTAAGTTTATGGCTTCTGTACGAAGAAGTTAAAATCGGTAAGTTTTGCCTGGTTATGTAGCAGAAACAGAATTCAGAATTGAGATAGGAGTAGTTGTTTAGAGCTTATGTTGCTGTGTAACTTTTCCAGGGTTTTCTGTTGCTTTCTCCCAGTTCCTCTGTTGTTACCACAATTATTTTAAATTTTTTTTTTTCCCTCATGGGAGAACTTGGATGTGAAATTCTAAGACAACATGAGATGGGCTTTATAAACTCTGGAAATAGCAAAATACTTGGTATTTCAAGAGTACATGCCCCTATCCTTGAAAATAGGAATAAACATTCCTGATATGTTACTTCAAATGTTTGAGATCTTTGGAAGGATACAAAAGTGCAAATTTTAAGCGTAAACTGAAGTACTGTCTGATACTGTCTAAGTGTATAATCCTAGAGGATAGCATTAGTACATATCTATGCTGAATCTTAATTTTGAATATTTTATATGTTTCAGTTAAGCCTATAACAGTTGCTTTGTTTTTTAAAGCAAATTTACGTTGTTAAATGAAATTTTCTTTGCTTAGCTGATGTATTTCTGCAGAAAATCAATGCTAATTTCACGTAACTGTCATTTTTTTAGATGAAAGTCATTTTGACAAATAAAACTTCAATCGAGTCCTGGATTGAAGAAAAGGTAAGCTTTTATTACAGTATTCTTGTACTGTATTGTTACAAAGTTTATTCTCCATATTTATCAGTTTGTTTCACCTATCTGGCTGTAAACCAAAGGTGTCATTTGAATTCACCACTGACTTAACACCTACAACCACCTTTTCCCTTACTCTCTCTGAAATTCACTGAAATAGATGAGAAATCCTTTAACTGAATGTATTTTTCTTTTCTTTTTTTGTGAATCAGTGTGACCATAGGAAAGTATTTGCTTTTAAGACATTTTGCTTATCTACTTGGAATATGTGGGTGTGTTTGTCTGAAACTTGAGTTGTCTGCTTCTCATTATGCCTGGCCATGTCTTTAATTGTCTAATTTAAATGATTCTCCTCATTTCCTACTTCTCTTATTAACCTTGGGAAGATTTGCCTTGATTTTGAAGAAGTACTAGAAAATAAGATACCTACTCTTCTCTCCTTTAAGTTTCTCTTTGATTTCCATATCTTTATAGAGGTTTTCACAAGATTTTTCAGAAGAAATATAGCCAAGCAGCAGAAACTAAGTTTAGAGGAAGCAAAAGTGACTCAATGTTTAGAAACTAGTTCAGTGTTATCAGGTTATTTTGTATAAGCCCATAAATGTTTCATTATTATGTTGTTGTGTTTCTTTTATTCTGTGTCAAAATTAGCACGAGGATCTTGACTGTGTACAAGTACCTAAGTACTGTATGGAATCTAGCTGGATCCTAGTCCTGTTAGACCTTTGAATAATAAGACAATGGATCATAAATGAAAGAAAACCCTGTTACAACTATAAGGGAGAACTTGGAATAGTCTGTTAAAACTTTTACAGTAAAACACAGACTGCTAATATGTCTCTTCTGAAAATTGAACACAGACTGTAATACATAAATGTTTAATAAAAATTACATTATTGCAACAAGGAGCACAAACTGTGGCTGCTCCACTAGATGTCGTCATTACTGAAAGAATGAAAAGTTCATGACTGCAGAATGTGGGAAATTGCAAAGCATGCCTGTATATACAGTTCTTAGAGGTGGAGTGGACACTGCCAACATTGAATTATGCTTATGATTAATCAAAGAAACCTGAGCTGTGTACGTCTTTGTATGTAACTGAGAAATAGTCATCAGTCTTTAAAAAAAAGCCATAAAATTAAATCAGAGCACAGAGTGGATTAATCAGTGTAGCCAGTTGACTGTTGTTAAAGAGTAAATGGGAGGGAAGGGCAGGGGACTCAAACCAAACATACTTCTATGTGTCATAGAATGCCACATTTTTGTAAGTAGCTTTAAAAGCCTGGGTTGGTATAGCAGGAATTTACTGCTCTTGCCTCAAAATGTTTGCCTTTAGGTCTCACGGACCCACAGGGCTTATCATCTGGCTGCCTTAGTACTTGCTGCTCAACTGCAGTTTGTAGGGTATGATTTTATGTACTGTATTTATTGATTATTTTCCAGGCCAAAGACAGAATCCAGTACTACCAAACGGGTGAGACCTTTATTTTTCCCTATGACATGGGAAGTAAATGGAAAAACTTCAAGCAAGTGTTTACATGGTCTGGGATTCCTGAGGGAGATGGCCTGGATTGGCCAGTACGAGATGGCTGTCATCAATACAGTTTGACGGTAATCAGTCTTTGATGATATCTCAAGTTAATCCTCCCCACGATCCAATTGTTTGCTTTCCTTTGCAGTAATATGTTAGCTTTTTAAATAACTAAAATAGACTGACTACTAATACATATACTAAAGAAACAGGAGTTCTGTCAAATGTTCTCCCACTTTTGATAGACTAAAACATTATGCTTTTGTGAGTGCTTTTAAGTGCTAATGGTACTTCCTGTGTTTGTTGAATGGTTTCATTACCTGAGTTCATTTTGTGTTGAATACACAAGTCCTTTTAAACTAAACACTGCCTAAATTTTTATTTATAATCATTTATAGATAGAGCAACTGAAACAGAAAGCAGACAAGCGAGTAAGAAGTGTAAGTATTTGTGAAGTTTGGCTTGAAATAATTTTGAAATAACAATATAAATAAATGTAAGTAATTGCTGAGACTATTTCTTTTCTTGACTTTTCAACCTAGCAATTAAATAAAGACTTTGTGTTTCCACACAAACAGTGTGCTACAACCTCTGCTTAATTAAACTTACATTTAGTTTTCTTTGCATTTGCTCCTTAGTTTCCAGATGGTAAGAAACATGGTAATAAAGATGACTGTGTTTCATTGTTAAGCAGTTAATCTAGAATTTAGAGTCCCTTTGACAGCCATTGTCATTATGTTCAAATCTAACGGTATGCTTGAATTGAGTTTTTGGTATGAAACTGTCAGCAAGGCAGTAACTCCTTAAAATAATATATTGTCGTGTTCTGTTCAAATTTGTAGGTGCGGTATCGAGCAGTAGAAGATTACAGTGGTGTCTGCTGCCCTGTGACTAAAGGTGTTAAAACGTTCTTCACAACACCGTGCACTGAAGAGCCTAGAATTGCACTGAGTAAAGGAGATCTGATTTTAGCCACGAGAGGCTTAAAGTTAGTGGCTCCACACTTTTATGTTTGGTTAAAAGAAATATTGAGATGAGTTCTGGCACCTAATTACCTATTACGCTTTCTTCCCCAGACACTGGATGTATGGTGAGAAGATTCTTGACTCAGCTGCTGATGGTATGAAGCAGTTATTTTCACTTTTTCTGTTGAAAATTACAGATCAATTTTATGGCTGTCTAGAAATGTAGACAATACTACATGTTCAGTTTTCAAAATGTAGAATGACTGACCTTATTGGCATTAGCTCCTCTCTGCTCTAGAACCACATCCGCAGTTTTTACATCTGGTAGGTCTACCAGTTTTGATAAACATTAAACAAATCTGTCAGACTGAAAGAACATTCATCCAGTAATTTATTGAAGGTTGAATGGGAAGGGGGACATTTCTTCATATTCTAAGAAAAAGTTAGACTTCTAGACTCTAAAGAGATTAATGGTGATTTTTTTTTTTGATACTTAAATAGTGGTCAGTCTTAAACGGATTCAGATCTCCTACCTAAACACCCCATATACATATAAGACCTGGGATTGCTCTTTGTACATCTTAAAAATGAGGAGATATCATGTCTTTGGTTTGGGATCGATTCCAAAAGCTTTGACATGCATTTACATAACTAACTACAGCTACTGGAGAGGTTAAATATCCCTGCTGGTCTGCAGAGACAACGTCACAGCCACCTGTATTGAAATTTTTACATTTTCCTTTAGTCCTCCTGCTTAGGACTGAGCTAACATTTTACCTGCCAGACTTTCCATTGAGGCACAGTGCGTTGGATTCTGTTGTCTCTTCCAAGCAATTGTGAATTCATTGCATGTACATTTATTGGTGAAAGAGATGCAAGCCAACAGATTGAAATCACTGGATTAAAAGTGTCCATGTTTTTCATGGGAGGTCTGAGACCCTCATGGACTAGAAGTGATTCAGCAGCTCACTCCAATGAACTCTTTCAACCATCAAACCTGAGTCACTGAATGAGCATTTGTATTGTGTTGCTTATTGTGAAGATTAGTTGGAGATATCTGTGCTATATTGAATGATTTTTTTTTTTTTTTAAATCAGGTGAAATATGGTCTGGGTGGGGAACTTGGTGTATGCTGAGAGGCTGGATTAGTATTCAAAATAATACTGGCATTTTTTGAGAACTAGGGTTCAAAAATAGGATGAGATTTGTTAGGAATGTATAGCAAAATGCTACAAATAGGCAGGAAAGACAAGCTGCACTAAAACAAGATGTAAAAATTAATGATTAAGTAGCAGTTCTTCTGAGGGGGGGGAGAAAAGTCAGTCATAATCTTAAGATGAGTCAACACTTGCAAAAAAGAAAAAAGCGTGTAGCTTCCCCGATGCATGAAGTAATCCTTCCCTCCTACTCAACATTGGCAGAGACTCAGCTGAAATGCTGCCAGAAGTAAAAGCAGTTAACTGCATCTCAGGAAAGAGGGAGATGAGCTGTAAAAGGTTGAAAGGAAAACAATGAGAATAATCAGAGTGATTATGTTACTGATAAGGGAAAGCTGAAAGAATTGGGGTGGTTTACCTGGAGGGGAAAAGGAGACAGGAGAAAGCCAGGATATGTGCAAATAGTAATCAGCTGCATGAAAGTCTGGTGTAGAGAAGGTTCTTAGCTGCTTCCTGTGTCCCTGGTGTGTAGAAAGAGGAGTTGTGAACTTGAGTTATAGACAGGAAGAGTCAGGGTATTAGGAAAGATTTTTTAATAAGGAAGGTAGAGTACTGGAAAACTCTGGAGATCACTGAAAACACTTCAGGCAATGGGAGAGACTCCATGCGTCCCCAGGCAATGATGTTAGGAATGGCTTAGATGTCTTGCCTTGGAGAAGAAAATAAACTAGGTAACCTTTTGATGTCTCTTCCAGTCCTGTGTTTTTCCTCTGTAGTGGGTCATGTTTTGTTCCAAGTTAATGCAACTTTTCATGTCTTAAGGTGGAATAAGAGAACGAGGCTGGTTCCCTAGGAAATGTGTGGAAAAGTGCCAATATGACTCTGAAACGGATCAACCAGTGGATGGAGAGAAGAAAAACAGATAGCCTTCTCATTTTTTAAATAAGAAATGGAATTTTTACTTCAGACCACAATCCTTTACTTGAAATTTTCTGTATATTACTTCAGACTTATGCAATGAATATGTTAGGACGAGGGTTTCTCTTCCTCGCAGCTGAAAGGGTTGGATATGCCTGTGCCATGGTTTGCATATTTTTTAAACAATAAATAATTGAAGAAGCCATTCAGTGGATTGCCTTCAAGATGCATCTTTTTCATCCTGTCAGTTTTTTTCTTATTGCTGTTTAAATTGCATTCTGAGGGTTCATATTTTAGGTTTTTTCCTCAACCGCATCTGATTGTGATGCGTGATGCTTTTGTATTTTACTTTCTCTGAAGCTCCCCCTGGGAACTATAATATAAACCTCTGATTCAAATTCAAGATAAAATTTGTTACCTGTGACTTTTAATGATGTGAATTGTCCACCTCAAATAAATGATACGTTCATATTCACTTGTGGATTTAATTGTTCTTAGACCTACAAGAACTTGTTTATAGGCATGGGAATGTGAACTGACTGGGAAGTAAAGATTTCATTGTTTTAAGTTGTTTTTCAAGGTTGGAAAGACTTCAGCTCTTGCTATAAGAATATTCTGTGCTTTTAATGGCAAAAAAATATAGCCAGCTATATCTGCTCCCTCTGAAATCTGAGCATGTACCCAAGAGACTAGAGTTCTCGATCCATCTTAAGATGAAAGGAAAGCAGTAGTGCCAAGACTGAAAACTGTGAGCTTAGTTGCTACTGATTAACAACTTTTAGTAAAGCATTTTTATTTAGCATCAGGTATGGATTATTAGAAGGAAGACTTTAAAATTGAGTAATCTGTACTAGCTGAAGGCTTTCTAAATTTATCCGAAATGCAGCAGGTGGTTTTCTTCTCTCCTAGTTGGTCTAGTTGAATGTTACATGTTGAGAGTTTTTGCAAATTGCTGTTTTAAACTACTAACACCTGGTTTACCTCTACCTGCATGAGTTCTCAGGCAGATGAGCATTTCTTAAACAATATTAAGCATATATAGAAATAATTACATACAGACAAGCCAGCATTAATCTTGTACACTCCTACTTGGCCTCTTAATCTCCAGTACAAAGCCAGTTTTTTGTTCTAGCCTGCTGTGTGTTAGTGCTCACAGTGAGCCGTAATCATGGGCTGTTTATGAGCTGTGGCAAGGGGGAGTTTGCGTTCAGTTTCAGGAGTTTGCTAGCAGGTGCTTTGCCCCTCTTGAAATCAAAGCACTTACTTTCTAGAAGCCAGCTTCATTAGAGGTATAGGAGGGTATTGTAGTCCTAGTTTCCCTACTAGCCAGAGCTGAAAGGCCTTAACTCAGCAGGATGTAGCTATTTCGGGAATTAGTATGAAAACCTCCAAACTGCATGGAATACTTTTAGTCTCAACTGCAGTAGTTTCTCTTCAGTGTCTGTGGAGTCTAGAACCAATAAAGATTACAAAAATAAGCTTGTCTTGCCAGCTAAGGACCTCTTGGTTTTGACTTTTGAAATTATTAAATAGCTGCTATCTGTATTAGCAGGCAGCAATTAACTAACAATAATAGGAACAGATTAACAGTACTAATGACCACAGTTGATCATTAGCTATTAGGAGGACAATTTATGAAACTTTATAGAAGACTGGATATCTGTTAGGGGTTGAAAAGTATCTTCAGTTGGATTTCAGCTTTCATCTGAGCACAGTTTTGCACACCAAAATCACTGTGCTGTGAACTGCAGCATGCCCAGGAGCTCCGCTTCAGAAGTGCGGTTACAAACTGAAATGGACTTCATGTGCTTTGCTTTTTTAGCTTTCATCTTGTTTCCTTGTAGCCGTAACTTCAGTCCCACCTCTTCCTTTTTGTAGCAGAGGTAACTGGTATTTCTATTTACCATTACAATGCCTTCGCTCAGCAGTGCTTGCCTGCAAACAGCCAGCCAAAACAAAATACATACCTCCTAAAAGCTTTTAGAGATTCTGCAGCCAAGCAAATACAAGCTGTCTTACCGTTGCTGAAAACTGTATCAGAGCATGAAGTTTAAAGACCAAGCACCTCTAATGAACTCTGATTCTTAATACCAGTAGATTTTCTTTTCCTTCCTTTCTACCATCCCCTTCTACCTTTTTTTTTTCTTCTTCATTCCTCACTCCCTTATTCACTGCAAATAAGGGTTGTCAAGCACTGGAACAGGCTGCCCAGGGAAGTGGTTGAGTCACCATCCATGGAGGTATTCAAAATATGTGTAGATGTGGTGCTTAGGGACATGGGTTAGTGGTGGGCTTGGCAGTGCCAGGTTAACGGTTGGACTTGATTTTAATGGTCTTTTCCAACCAAAATGATTCTATGTCCTGCCATTTTGCTTGAGGAAGATCTTTGTTTATTAAGGAAAGGAGCAGGTATAGATTTGACATAACTGTTCTGTGTTTTGCAGTGATTCACTAGGGAATTCAGTTGATTTTCTTTTAGGTTCAAATCCCTAGAGAAGCCAGGTCTGGAGGAAGCAAAAAGCAAGTGTCTTTTTCACACAGCAGTTAGCTCTATTAAACTATCTCTTGCTTTTCCCTGAGGGAAAAAAAGTTGCAGCCATCTGAACTTTGCACCTATAACCATCCTTACCTCAGCTCTTAGTTCACTGGGTATTACAGTGCTTCAAGCTGTAGGTAGCTTTCTTTAGTTCTCAATATCTTGAAATAATTTTTGCATCATTTCAGTGCAAGCATGCCTAAAGTATTCCTGTTTTCACTTTAGATCTGTGTTGAAGCAGTTCACATGGCAGAAGTGGCACCTAAGAGACCAGTTTCAGACCAATTTACACTTGAATTGTTATGTATGGTTTATTGGTCAGATGGTGCCATTACCCATCCAATTCAGTCTTTGTAACAGTTACTAGCAGATGCCACAGAAAGGAGAAATCTAAAGCACTGTAGTTTGCCACCATGAGAAGAGGTTTAATTGCCACTAAGAGTAAACCAAGTTTAGAGATTGAGGTGTTTTCTCTTCCAAAAGGGAAAGCATCTCTACTGTATTATAAAGAAGTGACCTCTACGAAGTTACTGCTTTCTGAGATGTGGCATGGAAAAGCAGGCATTCTCTACTGACTCCTCAAAGAGTACTTCATGCAGCTTGAAGGAATCATGACCGGTATCTGAACACTGCTAGTTGAAGGTCCCACCACAGGATGCTGGGCTTCAGCTTCCAAATGGATCTCTGCAGGGAAGTTTCAATTGTTGATAGAATGAACAAAGTATTTCCCAGGCACTGCAGCAGGTGGCATCACAGCATTCAGCCTGGAGTTTATATAGATCCTGGTGGCACTAGACTTGCTGTCCCCAGACTGAATTGCTCATCAGAGCCCACAACCAGTTTAAGTATATATTTCTTCTTCCCTCTGGTTTCCCGCTTTCTCCCTAGTCTCACCTGGGGGAAAAGACTAACATGGGAAAGATGAGAAGCCTAGTTACGTGCACTTTCAGAGCCTTAAAAGCCTTTATAGCCTCAGGTTATGACAGGCACAATAAGCAACACAAAAGTTACCTGAAAATGTCAAGGTCTCTGGGCCTAGACTAGAAAGAGAATTGGGTCAGTTCTTACTAGTCAAAGCTAGAGATGCCTCACAGCAAGGGGTGGGTTTTTCCTGACCAACAAATATACCGGTCACTTTCATTTTGGACAATATTAAATACAGAGAGGAACAGCCACTAGCTGTAAGAATCTGGCACAGACTAGGAGAATTGACATTGAAAGCTACAGGTACCCCTCCCCCATGTTACATCCTTGATAGCACTGCATTGCCTTGTGGACTGATACAGCAGACTGCTACAGGGACTGTCAGCAGAGACAGCTTACACTGATTGAAGACACATTTCCAAAAATAGAGACGGTACTCATCTTGCCTAAATGGTTTTCTAAAGAAACAGCTTTAGGCTTAGAAAGTGATACCTGATGTCTTCATGCGACAGGCTAAGCTGGAAGAACCACTTTATGCTGAAGACTTTGGCACATACTGTCTCACTACAAGAGAAGGAAAGTTGAGTAGAGGAGCAACATTTGGCACTATCTTACTGCTTCATGGCTTGAGCTGTGGCTGAGTGGTGACAGCATAGAAAACTAGTTAGCTTTCTGCAGCAGTTGTGTTCTGGCTGCAGCTACACAGGCAGCAGTAAACCTTGCAGCTGACAGTCTGGTTGCAGCAGAGAAACAAGGCTTTGGTTTGATTGTCCAGTTACAGTTTATTATATCCTAGGGAATGACAGCTAACATTTTCCACTTATCAGGCTCAAATTCATAAGTGTAGAGGCTTATAACTACCATGGCGTTTGAGAACATGTGCAAAAACTGATCCAGTGCCTCCCAGACTAGAATATAAATTATATTTGCTTTAGACACAGGTACTTTGTAAGCCAGATGCCAGAAGCTTTCATGAAAATGAGTTGTCTGGCATCAAAAACAACCTCTACTGTGTGGTCCAGGGCTAGGAACAGGAAAGTCACTTCTGTATCTGCTGAACAGATGTTAAGCTCCAATTCATATTATGACAGCTTGAGCTGAGACAGTTTATAGCATCCTGAGTGGAAACTGAACTGTTATTTTCCTGCACTTGGTTTTTGAACTATCCCCCCCCCCAAAATACGGAACTGCATGAAAGATGGAGATCAATCCCCAAAAGGTCATAGAGTTCATACTTGGAGCAGGAAAACAGTGAGTGCTTTTGACAGTGAGAAGTGCATACAACTGCCTTTTAAAAGAAGCTGAGGTTCTTGAGTGTTTTTGTGCTTCAGTCACAGTCCAAGGAAGATAAAGTTCTGGCTTTGCCTAGACAGCTGATGCTTAGTCCCACAAGATGTGAACAGTGCCAGTTGTCAGTTATGCTATAGCCATCTTCATCTGAAAGTCATTTTCCCCATAATACCAGAAACACATATATGTAAGTTCTCCTTGCTCCCCTCCACTCATGCATGTGTTCTCCATAGGTTGTGTAGTGTCACAGATTTGTTTGGATAATCCATGCAATTTAATTTAAAAACTGGTCACTTATTCCTGCAAACTTGAATAGAGGGCTTCAATCTGCTTCTGGAAGAATTTAACAAGCTCTGCTCTCTTTGCCTTCAGTGTTGGTGTCAAGAGTCCATTTTCTACAGAGAACATCTCTGTGTGAATGTACAGGCCTTTAACCTGTTAAAAGAAAATAATTTAGCACATGACACAATTATTTAGAGGACAAGCAACAGTCCTTCCCAGCTTCTGTGAGCTCAGTCCAAGAACTAGTCTCAGGAGCTCTAATAACTAAACTATTTTTTGATGCAAGTCCAACTCCTTTTGGCTGACACAGCAAGAGGATAGGCTGGAACTACAGTACAGCTCCTACAGCTGATGGTGAATGAACCTCTGCTCCATCTCATGGCAATTGCTACTGTTGCCCTGTACAGCAACCTGTCTCTTGGTCAGGAGACAAGCAGGCAGT